TTAACACCAACCTTACACCCATGTGGGTCTTTATTATTATCATTTTAAATCTGCTTTTCCTAAGTGAAGTTGGGAGTGCTGAGTATTCCTAGTGTTTGGGAAGGAGTATTAAGTATTCAGTAGGGGAAAACTTTAATCCTTCTTTGAAATTTTTAAAAACCTGTTTGTCTACCTGAGGCTGGAGCCTGTTATGTGTAGTGCGATTAATATTACAGAGGTTCAGAGAATTTGGCTGAAATGTCTGAGAACAGTAAAGTGTGTCTCTTATCAGGTACTGGCGTTGGTCAGGGGAAAGCTTCCACCCCCTTACTAGGCTAGTTTTGTGCTCACTGAAGGCCGGACAGCCTCTCTGTACCAATGAGCTTGTGTGAGTCACACAGGGATCGCAGCCCCAGTGGCTGAGCATGGCCTGCAGAAGAAACTAGCTCTCCCAGTGTGGATGGTCAGCTGACTCTGAATGGTGGAATAGATGATGTGGCAGGAACTCAGGGGACAGTCAGGCAGCATAACACCAGGCATAGCCACCTCGATGGGTCACAGCTCATTTCACAAGTGGTTCTGAATGGCATACCCTTCCAGGTCCAGTGCAAGGCTCTGAATTAATGTGGAAACCAATGTTCATCTGGCCCTTGTCCTCATGGAATGCACTGATGTGTTAAAGAACTGAATTATAAACTGAGAAAACAGATGAATATCGAATCTACTTGTGAGGTGCATTATGAAGAGAATGGCAAGGTGCTTAGAGGGAGATTAACAGGGATGGAGGACCTCTTAGAAAAAGGGCCAGATGGGAACTGACTGATGAGCTGAGCATCATGGTCCAAGTGGACAGCACTTGGGAAAGAGCTCAGTGTACTCGGCATGGGTGTTTTACAGAGTATGTTTGAATCCTGGCCCTGGCACTTGCTCACTACATACACCTCTTCATCTCTGTGTGCCATGTTTTTCTTATTTGAAAAGTGGGAATAATAATAGTATTTTCCTCAAAGGTTAATTGATGTGATTAAATGAGTTCATGCACAAAAAAAAAAAAAACAGAATGACAGGGCTTCTGATGTGGGCTCCACACACATTACCCTAGCGCCACACATACATGCATATCACACACACTAACACCACAGCATGCCTGGAGCAGTGTGAAGGTAGAAGAAAGAAATGAGGATGAGCTGGGAGAGGTGAACAGAGCAGGATCACGTGGGGTCCTGGAGACTGAAATTAATTCTCAGGGCAAAGGAGATTCATTGAAGTAGTTTAGCAATAGTGAGGTGTGATGTTCCTTGAGTTTTTAAAGATGAGAAAATGTTTCAGGTGAAGGTGGCAAAAGTGGAATCCAGGAGGCAGTTCTGTAGCTATTAGAATAAAACAGAAAGCAGATGATGATGATGAGGGCATGAATGCACGCCTGCCCAGTGTGACGTAGAGGCTACCAAATCCCAAATCCAAAGACTTTTCACACCAAGTTCTTGATAGCATCTTTATGCCATGCTTTCAATCTTCACTACTGAGTAATTTCTTTCTATAATTAAAAAGCATGGGGATAAAATGCTATTGAATACCTTTATATTTTCAGGTCAGAGCTTGTGCAATTTTCACAATGACTTATCTCCATCATATGATAAGAGAACTGGAGCTCAGAGAAATCAAGAAAGTTGCCTCAAAGCACCCCCACCCACGTCCCAGTTAGTAAGGAACGAAACCAAAATTGAAACCCAGCTCTGTTAGACTGGTTCTACTAATTGGCTTGGTTTTCTCAAAGTCTCATGACAACATGGAGATGTGTTTTCTTAGCGATAACCTGTGTCCCTTTTCCATCAACATTTGTATCCTCAGTTGTCACCAGTCAGAGACTGGAGGGAATGGAAGTCAGATCGTAGTAACGATGATGAATGGGGAGGGAGGCGAGTGAATGAGTGGACTGGAGAAAGGAAAGACTTGGAATTCAGCACTTGACCCAAGAACTCAGGCCTGCATTAGAGGCCCTGGTGGCCAAGGACACTGCAATATGAAATCATAAAATGAAGGGTTATAGGAAAAATTGCAGTAACATAATGAATATTTATATTCACATAAATTTCTCCATAACCGTTGCTTAGACAAAAAAGTGTCAAAGGTATAAATATATATATATATATAAAATAGTTATATCAATAATATATAAATATATAATTATAATATATTGTTTATATAAATAAATAAACATACATTTATTATGTAATATATAATACATACATATATATATACATAATAAATAATATAATAAATATGTATTATGTAATATATATTACATAAAAAATATATTTATTTACATAAATATTAATCCAAGTTCTCTCATTGCATTCTTATAGTCAGTTGTAAGTGTAAATAAATACATTGTTATGCATCATTTTACAAGGATGCAAAGTGAAGCCCATAGTTTTGACATAAACTTATCCCCAGTCAGACATTTGGTGAGTAGTAGAGCTACTCTGTAGAGGGTTCCTCTCCTTAGTTTAATGTCTTTATCAGGGAACCAATGGCACATTTCTTCCATGTGGTTTAACTTCACCACGCCTGGGGCCCTACCTGCCAGGTTCAGACTCTGGGTTTAGTGCTGGCGCTGCCTGGGAGATGAGGAGTATGGTGGTGGTGTGAGTGAGTGGACGTGATGCATACAATTTGTGGGCTGTGGCTCTCATATAGCACGTGATAGCAAAAACAGAGGGTGTGCCCAGTGCTAGGAAAACCCAAAGTTCAGATGTGATATCTGTCTATGGGGGTGGGACAAATGCATTCATGAATAACGACGGAATTGAATTACTGCTTCAAAGACACACCACGTGCTGTGTGTCTCAGCCTGCAAGAAATGCCACACTGGGAATTAGAGATCTTTCTGCCCCTGCTTCACTATGCTGGCCTCCTGCCATACCGAGATGCACCAAACCGTCTCATGCCTCTGTTACCCTCCTGGAGACACTGGTTAAACACCAGTATACTACTCACTTCCTCTAAGAAACCCTGTCTGAATCTGCCCCCTTTGAACTGAGTCAGTTCAGTAAGCATTACTGTGAGCATTACTCTCTGCATTTGCTTTTAGAAGCTCTGAGGGACACTGTGTGGTCCTTCTGCTCACTGCTGGACACTAACGGGGTTACCTAGGACCCAAATCCTACTCCACAATCTGGTGAGGTGGCAAAGTGAGATCAATTAGAAGAGAATATTAATACACAATGTACACACCCTGCACACACTAATTTCAGCTAAAGTGTGAGAAGCTGACACATGACAGGACAAGAAACTTGGGGCTACTTCAGCATCTCTGGACACCTCTGAATCAAAATTGAAAAAGCATCATTTGGGGTAAGAGGGTAGGGTGCCAGCCAACAGAGTTGCCTAGACAGGAACTAAAGGACCTCTGTTACCTCAGTTACATACTGATACCACTCCTATCCATTACTGATTTAGCACAAATAATGTATCATGCACAGTGAGATCACACTGATGTGTCATCACTTTGTGAGTCCTAGTACGTTTACTTCTCAAAGCATTTTTTTCTAGTGGATATAATCATCTTCATCTTATACATAATAAAATCACCTTAGACCAAGGTGACACCGCTAACAAGCTATGGCCATCACAGTTTAGAATCTGTCATCTTATCTATACCATATACCACAGTCCTCACTATTCCATGATTGGTGGCAGCTGGTGGCCTGTGGCCCCACTTTGGTCTGGGTGGAATCCCAGTTGAGGTAACAGGCATTGGTGCATTGATGAGGTGAGGAGGGGAGGTGATGAGAAAGGTGGACATTTGTGAAAGTCTCTTTGTATATGGACAGATTCTTTTTACAGTCTAGGTTTCCATCAGCAACCTTTTGGTTAGGACCACTCTATTACATATAAATAAATGGTGAAATTGGGTTTTCAAACTAACTACAAAAAAGGATGATTTCATTCACTTTTTTTCAGAACTTGAGATTTACAAAGACTGTTTCTAGATCTTTGGTTAAAAAATAATTTACCATTGTGTATGCTCACGCTGAGGATTTTAATTGCATGGCAAATAATTTAGAAAATTGAGTTTTCTTGGGTTCTCAATTTTAAATAGAAAATCCCATCCCCTCCACATAATCACCACAATCCCACCCACACAACACGGTATATAATTAATCAGTTTCAATTTATAATTGAATAGTCTTACATTTTTTGTATATAATAAAAGCTCATTATAAAAGTTTTTGTAATGAAAATAACCTAGAACAACTTATTCCAAATTGAATCTCTATTTACTTTTAGACACAAATTTGTCAGGTATGTTTCTACACACCTGTTATATAAGTTTATGTAAATCATGGTTACTTGACCTTTATTTATTTCTCTTTGACAATAATGAATTGTATGTTTTGTATAAAAACACTAAAATGATAAATATCACCAGCACAGATAAGGTAGTTATGGAAAGAATTCAATATACTTGTCCTCTTTGTTCAAATAACAAATCTTCTTTTACTGTTTTTTTCCCCACTGAACCCAATAGAAGCCTCAGAATCCTTCTCAACACAGTCTTCTAGGGAGAGAGTACTATGTGGGGTTAGCATAATAACATATCTATTTTTCATCTCTAACATTGTATCTGAGATGATGAGATCAAATGGTTCTGACTGTCAGGGAGACAAATCATGAGAGATTATTCTAAGCCATCTGACACAGTAAGCCAGTCATAGATACTTGCAGTATTCTCACCCTGCCCCCTCTAGCAAAAGCTGACACATCACCAATGAGAGTTTTTGCTTCTAAATTGATGATCGGTTCACTTTGACTCAGTGTGTGGTGATTGCTTGTAAATGAATAATTCCCTTGAGTCTAATTAGGTTGGTTCTAGTCTACATATTTGCTGTTGAGACCAGACCTGGCAGATCTTAAGAAAATTTCTGTGAACTGGACAGGAACTAAGATGGGAAACAAGAACAGCAGTCATATGGATATGCACTGATTTTTCTCTCCCACTCCTCCTTTGTTCCCAGAATCAGACGTTGCTGACTTTGATGGCCGAAGCTCACTTCTGTACAGGTTCAATCAGAAGCTGATGAGTACTCTTAAAGATGTGATCTCCCTGAAGTTCAAGAGCATGCAAGGAGATGGGGTCCTGTTCCATGGAGAAGGTCAGCGTGGAGACCACATCACCTTGGAACTCCAGAAGGGGAGGCTTGCCCTGCACCTCAGCTTGGGTAGGTTTGGACTTCCCACTTTCCCTTCCAATGCCAAGGGATGGAGAGCTCCTTTACTCCACAGGTCACAGTGTCTGACACTTGTAGTGTATCTGGTGGAAGTCACTAGAGCACCAACTAAGTGATATTGGTGGGGATAGAAATGTTTAAGGCATGTATAGCATTCTTTGACACAGTATAATATTGATATGTAGGGAGAATTGCAAACTCATATTTATTAATCTAACTACATATTTAACCATTTAATTCTCTTAGTAACTCAAACTCTAAAAAAGCTTTCACAAGTTTAAGTATACACACATATTATAAGGAAGCTTGCTCATAATCTATTCTGTTCGGTACATTTAAGAAAGTTAAGTTTCAGAGGGAAAATGAAGCAGAAATGTTTTGGTTGTTCTGGGTTATTTTGGGGGGGGGAGAAAGAATCATATATGTGAGGTGAAAAATCTAAGTTTCTAGGCATTCTCATGTCTTTTTAAGGGAAACTCCTTTCTTTAGGTGCCCTCGCTGTGCCAGGGTAAGCCCCAGACTCACAAGATTCCATTAAACTTAATACAGAATGCCCTCCTGGCTCCACACAGTTAGCACACAGCCTCCCACTGTGGACTGGCATCCATCAGGATCTGTTGCACTAAAGGCAGGTCTGCATTCATTGTGACCAACTTCCTATCCCAGGGAAACAAGAGAGAGGCCCAGCCTCCTGTACATGATCAAAGGCACTTCTGAAGGAAGGGTAAACCCAGTGCAGAAGGCAGGAGCACAGTTCCCAAGGATACAAACAAAAAAACGCTCTTCTATAGAAAAAAGAAAGAGAGGGAAAAAAAGGATCAAGCTGAAAAAAAAGTAAGTGGCTATTTTTCATAAGAATGACTCCCTGACTCCCATCTGATATTTACTAATATTAAACTGAGAGGAAAATAGTTATATTTTAGTCTTTACTATAAAATAGTAAAAATGATTTCTTTCTGTAAATAAGAAAATATGGGGATAAAATGTTATTGAATGCCTTTGTATTTTCAGGTTGAGCTTGTGCAATTTTTACAATGACTTTGAAGGTAGGTTTCTATAAGCCCCATCATACAGGTAGGAGAAGTGGATCTCAATCTAAGTGATACTGGTCTTTACTATAAAATAGTAAAGAAGAAAAGAAATTGTAATTTGTAACCCCAAGTTGCATGGAAGATTGACAATAAGAACACAGTCAAATAAATTTTAGCAATTAGCTGGAGAGCCGTAAGAATGAATATTAGTGCCCTAAAACCAAACAATATAGGGTCTTTATTTTGAGGCATTTCTGAGGATCTTCTTGGGGCCCCATGGTGACTATAGATTTCAAAGTTTAACTCAAAATTGACACCTAATGTATTAGATTAAGTATACATCAAAATACCTTTAAAAGTAGCATTTCACCTAGAAAATAGTGGTAAAAACAAAAATTACTGGTAACCTCATTAGTTGTAATTACCATACCTAAAGAAGCAATGCATCAGAACTTTCTGAATGTTGGGTATCCAAATACTACACAAACATGCATTAGTTCATTAACTGGCTTTTGGTTTTCAGGAAAGGAGATCAGATGAATGAATTTGAACCTCCCAGTTACAAGTGGCTTACACAGCATTGTGAGTTGTGGGTAAAGTTACTATGATTTATCAATAGTTAAACAGGTTGCCTTCTACTGGTAACATTGTGAAATCTTTCAGTTGCCACATTTAGATTCCCAATCCAGATATGGCATTTCTGACCCACAACTCTGCTCCCACATACACAATCTTATGTTGTCAACCAATCCACTTCTGGTATGAATGGTAGAAACAGCATAGGTGTGGTCATGTAACACTTTTTGTTTTGGCTACAGGTGTGCGATCAAATTATGTTATGATTTGTTTATTTATTATGTGATTTATGGTGGTGAATGTCTTCTGTGGCTCAGTTTTCTTATTTCTAATCTCAGGCTAATGACTTGACTTGCAGAGTATGGACATGAAAACCAAGAACATTATAAATACATTTTCTATAGCAGTAAGTAAAAATAATCAAATGCCAAAAATCAAAGCTCAATATTGCTCACTTATTCAAACAATATATGAATGTTTCACCCTGAACTGTGCTGACTTTTCTGAAAATAAATGATATATTAAAATAAATAGCTCCTATTCCTTGCTATGATACATAGATGGCAGGATGAGTTTTTCTTCCCTGTTTCCATCTTCTCTATATTTCTAACCATGATTGGCGGTGATTAAGTAAAACTTTAGTTTGTGAATGATTAAGTAGTGAAAATATATTTTATCTATATTCTGCATAGTTTTAGATTTCTTCATATTTTTACCTGTTTCTGCATCTCTTTCCTTTCTATAAGTTTACCACAGTTGAGTGTTTTCTGTACTTTCCTGTTTTAAGCAGTCATCTAGGATGTTTCTTAACTAGCATTAAGTTTCCAAATTCCTCTTCTAGAGAAACACTGCCACAGATTAGTACTTCAGCCCCACCTACCTCATTACATCTAGAAGATCTCTGGAAGCACTAAGCAAAGGGGAGTGATAATAGTTTTGCTTTGCCCATAATGGAAAATCTGTAATGTAAGTTTCATAAGCATTAGAATAACACCTTCTTCATTTCTGTATCTCTAGCATCTAGGAGAGCCCCTTCCTAAAGTAGATGCTTGAAGCAAATTGAGTACATTAGAAAAGGGATTTTCATCTCATATTTTATTATTCCTGTTGGGCTTGTTCACCTGCAACCCTGCATTCCTGACTCCCCCATGATCCACCACTTCCTTCGACAATGGGTTATATTTACAGAATATCCACAATGTGATAGTGTCCAGTCCAATTCTCAAAGAAGACCTATGTCATAAGTATACATTAGCCTCAGTTTACAGATATGAAATACTAGGCTTGAATAGGATAAATTGCTTGTCCCATTTACACAGATAGTGATCAGTGTAGCTGCTATTAATATCTGTTAATGTTTTACTATTACTTTAGATTATAAAATACATATCAGTTTTAGAAAATTTGAATATAATGTAAAAAAGAAAAGGAAAATATCCAATCCTACAACCTGGTTCTTTCTTTTATTTATACTTTAGTATCTTTTAAATGTTTATCTTAGTTATTTATATGAAATCTTTAAATATTATTTTAAAGTAATGTTATTTTTCTGTTGTCACATAGCCTGAAAGGAAAAAGCGTTTACAAAATCCAGGATCAGGTTTGTTCTTTTAAATAAATAAATCAGAAAAGCAAGAGAAAGACAGGAGAGGAGAGAGAGAGAGAAAGAGAGGCAGGATTCAAGTTAATGGGCTAAAGAATAGTGCTGGTCCAATAAAAGAGAGAATTTTGGCTTTTCCCTCCCCAGTTTTTATGGACATTCCAGCAGTGTCTCCTTTAGTGACAATTCTTCATCTGCAATGTTTATTCATTTTCTGATCAGTTACTTTGCAATTCAGAAATTCAGGCTAAGAGTGAAGAAGTTCAGCACCAAGGCCAGTTGCCAACGATGTCATTGTAGACATAGTGTGCTGTTGCTCTTTTTCTAGTTACACTCTTGTATAAATTTCCTGTTTACATTACATAGTTACCCTAACCCTTACTGTGTCTAGCTTGGGCAGAGACAGTTCTATGGAGAAACTGTGTGATTCCTCTTTGTCTATTTTCTTAGAGTAGAACATTGATATTTTCCCAGAACTACTACATGGGAAAGAGATTTCTTCTTTTAATCCATAAGGGGATTAGATATGTTTCCTTTCTCACTTTTTGCACATCTCATTCACATTGTCCATGGCAATCTGCCATCTGTAGAATTACAATAGTCTGAACCCATTCAGGCAGGTAGGGAATCAAAGAGCGGAGATATTATGCTACAAGAAAACTGTTGTTAGAATTAAAGAAGATATCAATAGTACATGCAGGTCACTCATCCTTACAAGAGCCCAGTGCTTTTAACTAAGGCCGGATGTTTATGCAAACCCCAATGCATACAGCTGTAGTAAAGAGAGACTCCAAGGATAGAACAAATGTCTACAGAGAATCCGGGGGCGGAGTACAGGGTTCAGGCGCCAAAGCATATGATTGCATAATCAACCACTGAGATGCCAGAGAAAGTTCTTCCCATTCTCTAAAAAGTCAAATGAACATTTAATTTAGCTCTTTTGAAACTCAGGCATTTTAGTAAGCCAACTCACACATATTTATGGAATGTTTATCATGTTTCTAGAATTGTACTAAATACTATAAAAGTTTTTCTTTTTAAGTTGGCATTTTTTGAGTGCCTACATTTAGGCACTGCATTAAGCATTTAAAATATATATTCTATTTAAATCACATGGCAATCCTACAAGTTATATCCAAACCCATTTACAGATGATGAACTGCTGGTCAGTGATTCCCAGTCAGTGGCTCAAGGTCACATAGCTGCATAGCTGTAGATATAGAATTAGAGCTTTATCCAATCCTACCCCAGTGCCCTGACATTAGTCACTAACATGTTATAAATTTTTATAAAATAAATAATAAAAATATAAAACAATTAATAAGAAATGTTAAACATCAGGCAGACAATATGTATGTGTTAAGTTGTGAGAACAGAGAGAATAGGAAGGAACAGAGGGTCCCAGGATCAACCCTGAGTAATCAGGAGATTTTATTATGGAGAGGGAGGAAAGCAGGTATTTCAGACAAAGAATTAATGGCATAGAATGCACCACATTTTTCATAAATTCTATCATTATGCCATAAGAATAGATTGAACAAGTACAGTAAATCAGGCACTGAATTTTGCACTGGGGATTAAAATTTGGATTTATCACTCTCTATTTTTAAGAGGCTCTCAGCCTAGTAAAATAGTTATTTCTATTTACTTTTTAGCTTGGTTATATTAATTGGAAATAAAATAACTATGCCTCATCATAACTGTGTAACAAATGTATTACAATAATATTTTTGGAGATAGCAAAGTCACAGAAGATGGACTCAAATTAAAGATCAGAGAAGAGC